GTGAATGTGAGTGTGCTTGGTTGTCTGTCTCTAAGTGTAGCCCTGTGATAGACTGGTTACCTGTCCAGGGTGTCCCCTGCCTTTGCCCTAAGTCGGCTGGGATAGACTCCAGCCCCCCATGAACCTAGTGAGGATTAAGCAGTGTATAGATAATGGATGGATTGTGCAGCAGTAAGCCAGTAACTACAAACTCCTAACCGATCCGTCGCCCCTCAGATCATGACAGCCGTCCTCACTACCCGCTCCACCCCTCTCATCCTGGCCGGCATGGCCATGGAGCGCTACATCTCCATCTGCTTCCCGCTGCACTACAGCCAGATGTGCACCGTCCCCCGCACGCTGCTCCTCATCGGCATCATCCTCATCCTCACCGCCACGCCGCCCATCTCCGACCTCCTCATCACCATCGTCAAGGAGCCTCCGAGTTTCTTCCGCACCACTATCTTCTGCGACCACTCGCTGCTGTTTCGAGACAGGTCCATCTACTACAAGAACTGCGTGTTTGACGGGACGTACCTGGTGTTTGTGGCCCTCACGCTGCTCTACACCTACTGTAAGATCATGCTGACAGCAAGGGCTGCATCCACGGGCCTGGCCTCAGTGAAGAGAGCCAGGAACACCGTGGTGCTGCATGGGGTGCAGGTGGGTGTCATCTCATGTCAATAATTATGGCTCCTTTAGGTGAGCTATAAAAAGTTCTCAGCTTCACCTTAAAAAAACTAACAAACAGGAGCTTTGGCCTTCTAGAGGAAGGTCACATCTTGAACCTCCAGATTCTCAACAGCATTGATGTTTTCATCATTACTCTGAAAATGGCGACGACACAAGCATGATTTCAGTTAGGAAACAGAAGTGCTAAGGTGCAGGTGGGGTGAGTAAGGTTCATGGGGCAACAGTCCAGTTGCTTCTCCCCCTGCACTGTGTGGACGGACGCATCATCCTGGAGCAACAGCAGCCAGCTTAAATCTCTCCTCTCCTTTGCTCTTTGATTGCTTTAAACATTCAAGTTTTTGGTGGACACTGATAAAAGGCTTTATAAGATACAATGATGCCCCAAAATGGGAGCTATGCCCCTTGTTTCTGGGTAAGGCGAGAACTTTTTGAAGTGCTCTCAAAAGAATCAGGGCCACTTAACCACCATCTACAATGAAAAGGTCACACCTGAAAGGAACCAAAAGGTCGAGAATTGAACACAATGCCGGTTTCACTACTACTTACAGATTTTCCCCTATCTTTTCAACATGTTTTAAACACATAAAAAAAACATTTCTGCATGTAGTATGTTTAACCTGAGAATCCCACTGTTGATTGTAAATGTTGGATATTTGAGTCCTTAAGGTTTTTATCCATTTCTGCCCTCCTCCGTCCTTCCGTTCCAGCTGCTGCTGTGCATGCTGGCCTTCGTGGTTCCCTCCCTGCAGGCTGCTCTGATCTCCCTGTTCCCCCGTCTGAGCCTGGAGATTCGTTACATCTTCTTCCTGCTCGTCTACATCATCCCTCGCTTCCTGAGTCCTGTGATCTACGGCTTTCGTGACGAGCAGTTCAGGAAGTACTGGACGCGGTACCTGTCCTGTCGGAGCCGCAGCATCCTCCGAGTCAGGCCGGCGCTGCTGAAGGTGAACCTGCAGGTGAAATAACCACAACGAGACCCTTCAAGTCCACCTGATCGGCTGCTGCCCATGAACTCTGGGGTCATTTCAGTTCACTATGATTCGCTCCCAGCTGTTATTGCAGCGTGGCCTTTGTTTGGTTTGAGTTCATGGTCTGCTGCTCTAACCCTAACCCATAGGAAGCTGAGGCTGATGACTCGATGGTGAAGTGTTGGAAATATGAACTGTTTCTTTTATAATAAAATGTATACAGCTGCTTGTAGAAAACGTTGATGCTGCTATTTGACACTGAACATTTTTTGCTCCTGATGCATTTCTCCTCACTGTGGCCAGTTTCTCACTGTTATATAAAGTCCTACACCTCTGTGGGAACAGCATGGCTCCTGGCTAGAGGTGCACAAACATGTCTTTTGTAAACCATAAATAAAGGAAAACAAAAGTCACATTTTTTTACTATTTTTTTTTCCAAAATTTGAACGGACCTTGGATTCGGCTTTCCCGGCTTTTTTGCCCGGTTTTTCTTACCCTTGGGGGGGGGACTTGGTTGGTTTTTCCCTCTTCATATCTTACTAATTACATTTACATTTCGTTCCTGTTCACATCTCACGATGTTGACACCGCCTGCAGTTCAACCAAAAAGTCCAGGAAATGTTGTTACAGCGGAGTCAGTTTGGCTTTTTATTTGCGCTGACAAACACAGAATCTTTGTTTTTCTTTCTTTACAGACTCTGGCCAAAGCAAATAGTTTTGTTTTGGTTTTTTTTTTACTAACTTTTAAATGAGACATGGAGGACAAACTGATTTTAATGAAACAGCATCATTTTAAGCTTAGATTTCATGCATGAAAAGTTCAAGTAACTTTAAAAGCTTCTAATACAACGAATATGATGATCCTCAATGTTTTTACGGTTATTTGCTCCAATAAATGGTGTTAAAATATCATTCCACTCAAGCCTGCTGGCAAGTTTTGGGTTTTAAATGGTTAAAAAAAAAACACAAGAAAAGATCAAGACGATCAACACACTTCGATGGTTGACTCCATCAATAACCGGCCATAGACTGGATGAGAGCGATGGACGTGGCTACTGTGACCCGTTGGCGAAAATGAAGTCAGGATTTTGCTACTTCCTGGTTGGCAGCTTGGGTTTTTGGAGCCAAGGTGAAAAAATGATTGAAAGAGGGCGGAGCCGGAGAGCAGTGATTGGTCAGACTGACTGAGGACTCTCTGCCCGCCCACATTTACCTGCAGCTGTTTTTACTGATGCTGCTGCTAACAGTGTTAGCATCCAAAAGTTAAACTCTACAGAAGTGTTAAAGCTGTTGTCTGTGACTAAGTTTCCTGTTGGTCACAGCTGATCAATCATAACGGATCAATAACGGTATTACAGTCTTTTAGCTGCTATTGTTCACTGTTTCACTGAGAAAACATCAAATGATTCTTTCTCTCTTCTTACTGAGGTTTACCCACAACATGAGCATCACACTGAACCACAGAGGTGAGCGGTACGTCTCTGTGTTAATGTGAAACAGTGCAGCAGAACAATGTGTTGTCATATAACTGTGTGGAGCTCAGATAACCAGAGATTCTTTTCCTGTTTCTGTGATACATTAGAATAAAAAAGAATAAACTTCATTGTCCATGTAAGGCAGTAAAATGTTCTTTGGCCTCAACCAGGAAAACAAACATTTTTATGTAAAATTCCACACTGAGTTATTTTCAGATTGACCACCTGTCTCTATGTGGAGGAGCACTCGTCTAATGAACCATCCCAGCTGGTCAGCAAACACACCTACGTCTTATTAAACTGTAGGAGGCGACACCTGGTGGAGAAACCAGGTAACACCAGCTAATCTACAGCACAATATCTGACATGCACATCCCTTGTCTTCTGCCTTATTAACAACAATCAATTGATTAGTATTGCATGATTAACATCGCTAATGCTCATGTTATTCTTATCTCTGACCTCACTCTCCATCTGCCCATTATCATTACAATACAGTGAAGACGTCCATTCTGTCGTGGGGATGACCTGTGGGGTCAGTATCATTTTTAATCCATTACATTTTGAACAACATTTCAACATTCTCAATCATCATATATCTTAACTGCGTAACATCAACAATCGCAATCACAGTCAGTAGGTGGCAAAACTTAACACTGATGCTGGTTTCACTGAAATCTCAATCAGTGGTGCTGATGGTGTCTGAGTCGTGTAATCAGAAGTAAACAAGGCCGAGAACATTAAGCAGCAGAACTCACTTCAGATGAGCAAAGGATAATAAAAATCCTCTTTAAAAAGTTGTGCTTTAATGTAACACCACAGTTCAAGTGAGTTATAATGGATTAAAAGGTTTATTTTCATCTGAGCTAATTTAAATGTTTTCTTTTTTAGGATTAAACAGACAGTCCGCCCTCTTCCAGTCCCTGTGGTCAGCTGCCGTCGTCACCGCTGATAAACTCGTCTCATTAAGATCCAGAACCACGTCTCCTCCTCTCCCTCTCATACGAACAGTCGGTCATTAACTCCACAAGTGTGGTGCTGAGGTATGTTTCTCTTGATTGCTTTCCATTTGAAGGTTTATTGCTGCCAGAAGCTTTCTGTGTCCTTGTGAAAAGCTCACCACAGTGAAATGGAAACCTCACTTGTTAGATTTGATGTCTTTTAAAACTCAAATGTTTAATTATTGTGTGTGATGAGACATAAAGAGAAGATAATTTAAATATTTAAATACAACCAGTTTTAATTGAATTCGCTTAAAATTAAATCCTTAATTGTTGCAAACATTTCTTAAGACTCTTCTAGTTATAATTTAAAAAAAAAAAAATAATAATTAGACGTTCAGTCATAAATAAATAAAATGTCTTGTTGTGTTCACAATAGATGAATACAACATTATGTATTTCAAGATGTTTATTTGTCTAAATGGCATTTTTCTGAGTCACTGAAGGCTGCATTTGATCTGCTGACTGAACTGGGCTTTGGTTTCCCAGCAGCAGCGAGCAGGACGAGGCGAGGTATGAACTCCACCGTACCTGTGGACAGCCTGAATGAAGCCCTGACTAAGAACCTGATCTCCTTCACTCTGAGCTTCATCATTAACTGCATCAACGGTGCTTTTGTTTACATCTTCTGTAAGAGCGAAGTGTTCCAGCGAGACCCCAGGTGACGCAGCACCACCAGTGACTTCCTGTACACAGGTTGTCTGTCAGAGAAATAATGAGAGAAACAATAAAGCTGTTGAGATTTGATACTCAAATCTGCTCCAGTCTTGTAATTAGATACAGTCGTCCTCAAATTTATTCCATTAAAGAAAAGGCAAAATTCACAGAAGTCCCTCAAAAAACTAGAAACTGAAAAAAGTAATAATAAATAAAAATTTGCTAAATTAGAATTTTGTGAAAGAAGGCATAGATTTTGAATTGTGGTTGAAAAGAATAATTTAAAAAAATAAACTGTCCTTTTAACAGGTGCAGAAGTCTGATTGAGCGCTACAGAAAACACCTGATTGCAGTGATTGGCTCAAAGGGTTGTTCAACTAAATATTAATTTACGGGTCCCGTCATGCTTGTTTTGCTTGTTTTTCCCTCTTTAATGGGAGGGTATGAATACATTTGAGGACGACTGTATATTTTGCCACGAGGGCCTGCTGCTGTGACTAAGTTCAGAATTTTAGTTTGGAGCTGAAAAAGTTCTCTGTGACTAAATCTCCTGTCCTCTCCTGTCACGCCGACTCCTCGGCCCTGCAGGTATGTGCTGTACATCCACCTGGTGATCAATGACATGATTATGCTGACAGCTTCTGTGACGCTGCAGATCCTGACCTACACTGTCCGCCTGAGCTTTGCTCCCTGCTGCATCATGCTGCTCATCCTAGTCACCACCAATAAGTAAGTGTGAGTCTGTGATGAAGGAAATGTGTCCACATATTCATGACATATGTGATCATTCCACCTCAAATCATCAGGCCTTCTGCTCCACCATGCCTGAAACTTTTTTCCCCTTTACCATAAAATTTGGTTATTAGAAATGGTTTGTGTGAAATTTTT